TGCTGCTGTGCTGCTGCTGTAGCTGCTGCTGTTGCCTGTGCTGCTGTTGCTGCTGTTGCTGCTGCTGTTGCTGCGCTGTTGCTGCTGCTGCTGCTGCTGCTGTTGTTGGCTGCTCTGCTGCTGTTGAGCTGCTCCTGATGCTGCAGCTGCTGCTGCTGCTGTTGCTGCATCTGCTGTTGCTGCTGCTGTTGCTGCCTGCTGTTGCTGCTGCTGTTGCTGCTGCGGTTGCTGCTGCAGCGGTGCGCGCTGCAGCTGCGCTGTGCTGCTGTTGCGCTGCTGTTGCTGCTGCTGCTGTTTGCAGCTGCTGCTGCTGCTGCTGTTGCTGCTGTTGCTGCAGCTGTTGCTGCTGTCTGCTGTGCTGCTGCAGCTGGTGCTGCTGCTTTAGCTGCTGCTGCTGATGCTGCTGCCTGTGCCGCTGCTGTTGCTGTCTGCTGTTGCTGCTGCTGTATTTTGCTGCTGCTGCTAGTTGCTGCTGCTTGCTGCTAGCAGCTGTTGCTGCAGCTGCTGTTGCTGCTGTCTGTTGCTGCTGCTGTAGCTGCTGCTGTTGCTGCTGCTTGTTGCTGCTGTGCTGTGCTGCTGTTGCTGCTGCTGTTGCTGCTGCTGTTGCTTCTTGCTGCTGCTAGCTGCTGTTTTTGCTGCTGCCTGCTGCTGTTGCTGCTGCTTGCTGTTTGCTGCTGCTGGGCAGCTGCGCTGTTGCTAGCTGCTGCTGTTTGCTGCTGCTGTTTCTGCAGCTGTGCTGCTGCTGTTGCAGGCTGCAGTTGCTGCTGCTGATGCTGCTGCTGCTGTTGCTGCTGCTGCTGTTGCTGCTGCACCTACTGCTGCTGCTGCTGCTGTTTGCAGCTGCTGCAGCTACTCGGCTGCGCTCTGATGCGCTGCGTTGCTGCTTGCTGATAGCTGCTTGGCTGTTGCTGCTGCTGTCTAGCCTTGCTGCTGTTGCAGGCTGCTGCTGTTGCTGCATGCTGCAGTTGCGCTGCTGTTGCTGCTGCTGTTGCTGCTGCTGTTGCTGCTGCTGTTGCTGGCTGCTGCTGTTGCAGCTGCTGCTGTTTGCTGCTGCTACTGCTGCTGCTGCTGCTGTTGCTGCTGCTGCTGCTACTGCTGCTGCTTGCTGCTGCTGCTGCTGTTTGCTGCAGCTGCTGACTGCTGCTGCTGCTGTAGCTGCTGCTGTCTGTGCTGCTGCTGCCTGTTGCGCTGCCTGCTGCTGCTGCAGCCTGTTGCTGCTGCTGCTGCTGCTACTACAGCTGCTTCTGTTGCTGCTGCTGCAGCTGCTGCGACTGCTTGCTGGCTGCTGCTGTTTGCTTCTGCTGCTGCTACTGCTGCTAGGCTGTTCCTGCTGCTGCTGCTGCTGGCTGCTGCTGCTGCTGCTTCAGCTGCAGCTGGCTACAGCTGTCAGCTGTTGCTGCTGTGCTGCTGCTGCTGTTGCTGCTGCTGCGCTCTTTCTGCTGCTGCTGCTGCTGCTGCTGTTGCAAGCAGCTCCCGCTGTTGGCTGCTGCTGCTGCTGCTGTTTGCTTGCTGCTGCTGCTACTGCTGCTGCTGCTCCTGTTTCTTCTGCTGCAGCTGCTGCTGCTGCTGTTGCTGCAGCTTTGCTGCTGCTGTTGCTGCTGCTGCTTTTGCTGCAGCTGCTGATGCCAGCGCTTAGCTGCTGCTGTTGCTGCTGCTGCTGTTGCTGCTGCTGCTGTTGCTGCTGCGTTTCGCTGCTGCTGTTGCTGCTGCTGCTGTTGCGCTGGCTTGCTGCTGCTGCTGCTGTTGCTGCTGCTGCTGCTGCTGCTGCAGTTCTGCTGCTGCTGTTGCTGCAGCAGCGCTGCTGTTGCTGCGCTGCTTGCTGCTGCTGCAGCTGTTTGCTGCTGCTGCTGCAAGCTGCAGCTGCTGCTGCTGCTGTTGCGCGGCAGTCTGCTGCTAGCTGCAGCTGCTTCTGCTGCTGTTGCACTGCTGCTGTCTGCTAACTGCTGAGCTGCTCCCCTGTTTCTCTCTTGCTGCTGCTGCTGCTGTTGCTGCTGCAGCTGCAGCTGTTGCTGCAAGGCTGCTGGCTGCAGCTGCTGCTGCTGCTGCTGCTGCGTGCTGCTGCTGCTGTTTTGCTGCTGCTGCTGTCTGCTGCTGCTGCTGCTGCAGCTGCTGCTGTTGTTGCTGCTTAGCTGCAGCTACTGCTGCTGCTGCTGCGCTGCTGCTGCTGCAGCTGCTACTGCTGCAGCTGCTGCTGTAGCTGCCTGCTGCAGCTGCTGCTCTGCTGCAGCTGCTGCAGTTGCTTTCTGCTGCTTTGCTGCTGCTGCTGCTGCGCTGCTGCTGCTTGCAGCTGCTGTTGCTGTCTGCTGCTGCTACTGCTGCTGCTGCTCCTGTTTTCTTCTGCTGCTGCTGCTGTCAGTTAGCTGCTGCTTCTCTGCTGTTGGCAGTTGCTGCTGTCTGCCTTGCTTTGCTGTTGCTGGCTGCAGATATGCTGCCTTTGCTGTTGCTGCGCTGCTGCAGCTTGCTGCTGCTGTTGCTGCTGTTGCTGCTGTTTTTGCGTTGCAGCTGAGCCTGCTGCTGCTCTGCTGTTGCTGCAGCGCTGCGCTGCTGCTGCTTGCTGTTGCTGCTGCTGGCTGTTGCTGCTGCTTGCTTCTGCTGCTGGCTGCTGCTGCTGCAGCTTGCAGTTGCTTGCTGCTGCTGCTGCTGCTGCTGCCTGCTGCTGTTGCTGCTGCTTGCTGCTGCTTGCCTGTTGCTTGCTGCTAACTGCTGCTGCTGCTGCTGCTGTGCTGCTGTTGCTGCAGCTGCTGCTCTGCTGCGTGCTGCCTGCTGCGTTGCTGCTTGCAGCTGCTGCCAGCTGCTGCTGCTTGTTGCTGCTGCTGCTGGCTGCTGCTGCTGCAGCTGCTGCTGCGCTGCTGCTACTGCTGCTGCTGCTGCTGTTGTTTGCTGCTGCTGCTGCTTCTGCGCGCTTCTGCTGCTGCTGTTGCTGCTTGCTGCTGCTAAGGCTGCTGCTGCATCCTGTTTCTGCTGCAGCTGCTGCTGCTGTTCTGCTGCTGCCTGCTAGCTGTTGCTGCTGCTGCTGCCTGCAGCTGCAGCAGCTGCTGCTGCTGTTTGCTGCTGCAGCTTCTGCTGCTACTACAGCTGCTGCTGCTGCTGTATGCCTGCTGCTGCTGTTGCTGCTGGCGTTGCGCTGCTGGTTGCTGTCTGCAGGTTGCTGCTGCAGTTGCTGCTGCTGCTGTTGCTGCTGCTGCTGTTGCTGCTGCTTACAGCTGCGCAGCTGCTGCAGCTGCTGCAGATGCTAGCAGCTGTTGCTGCTGCTGTTGCTGCGCTGCTGCTGCTTGTTGCTGCTGCAGCTGTTGCTGCTGCTGTTGCAGCTGCTGTTTCTGCTGCTGTTGTCTGCTGCTGTTTTGCTGCTGCAGTTATGCTGCTGCAGCTTGTAGCTGCAGCTGCTGTTGCTGCTGCTACTGCTGCTGCTGCTGCTGTTGCTGCTGCTGCTGCTACTGCTGCTCTGCTGCCAGCTGCTGCTGCGTTGCTGCTGCTGCGCTGCTGTTGCTGCTGTTGCTGCGCTGCTGTATGCTGCTGCTGCTTTTTGCGCTGCTGCTGCTGCTGCTGCTGTTGCTGCTTATGCTGCTGCTGCAACTGCTGCTGCTGTTGCGAGCTGCTGCTGCTGTGCTGCTGCCTGCTGCTGTTGCAGCTGCATGCTGCTACAGCTGCTGCTGTTGCTGCTGCTGCTGCAGCTGCTGCTGCTGCTGCTTCAGCTGCTGCACTGCTTCTAGCTGTTGCTGCTGCAGCTGCTGCTCTGCTGCTTGCTGTTGCTGCTGACGCTGCTGTGCTGCTGCTGCAGCTGCTGCTGCGTTGATGCTGCTTGCTGTTGCTGCTGCTGCTGCTGCTGTTGCTGCAGGCCTGCTGCTACTGCTGCTTCTGCTCCTTTTTCCAGCTGCTGCTGCTGCTGCTGCTGTTGCTCAGCTGCTGTTGCTGCTGCTGTGCAGCTGCTTGCTGTTGCTGCAAAGCTGCCTGTTGCTGGTTTTCTGCTGTTGCTGCAGCGTTTGCTGCTGCTGCTGTTGCTTCTCTGCTGTTTGCTGGGTGCTGTTCTGGCTGCCTGTTGCTGCTGCTGGCTGCTGTAGCCTGCTGCTGCTTGCTGCTGCTGCTGTTGCTGCTGCTGCTGCTGCTGCTGCTGTTGCTGCTGCTGCTGTAGCTGCGAGCTGCTGCTGCTGTTGCTGCGCTGCTGGCTGCAGCTGCTGCTGCAGCTGCACTGTTGCAGCAGCAGCTGCTGCAGCTGCTGCAGTTTGCTGCTGCTGCTGCTCAGCTAGCTGCAGCTGCTGCTGCTGCTGCTGCAGCTGCTGTTGCTGCTGCAGCTGCTACTGACTGCTTCTTGCGCTGCTCCTGTTTCTGCTGCTGCTGCTGCTGTTTCTGCTGCTGCTGCTGCTGTAGCTGCAGCTAGCAGATGCAGCTGCTGCAGACTGCCTTCGGCTGTTGCTGCTGCTGCTGTTGACGCAGTCTGCTGCAGCTTCAGCTGCTGCTGCTGCTGCTGTTGCTGCTGCTGCTGCTACGCAGCTGCTGCTGCCTAGCAGCGCTGCAGCTGCCCCCCCTTAATAAACAGCTGCTCTGCTCTTGCTTGCTGCTGCTGCTTGCTGCTTGCAGCTGCTGCTGCTGCGTAGCTGGCTGCTGCTGTTGTTGCTGCTGCTGCTGCTGCTGAGCTGCTGCTGCTGCTCTGCTGCCAGCTGTGTTCTGCTGCAGCTGCTAACTGCTTGCTGCTGCTCCTGTTCAGCTGCTGCTGCTGTCAGTTTGCTGCTGCTGCTGCTGCTGTTGCTGCTGCTGCTGCAGCAGCTGGCTGTATATGCTGCTGTTGCTGCTGTATGCTGTTGCTGCTGCTGTCTGCTGCCTTTTGCTGCTGTAGCTGGCTGTTGCTGTTGCTGCTTGCTGCTGCTGCAGCTGCTGCTGCTGTGCTGCTGGGGCCTGCTGCTGCTGCTGCGCTGCTGATGCCCTGCTTGCCGCTGTTGCTGCTGTCTGCTTCTGCTGCTGCTGCTGCTTCTGCTGCTGCTGCTGGGCTGTTGCTGCTGCTGCTGCTGCTGCTGCTGCGCTGTTGCTGCTGCTTGCTGATGCTGCTGTTTGCTGCAGCTACTGCTGCTGCTGCTGCTGCTGCTGTTGCTGCTGTTGTTGCTGCTGCTGCTGCCGCTTGCTGCTGCTGTTGCATGCTGCAGCTGTTGCTGCTGCTGCTGCTGCTGCTTGCGCTGCTTGTTGATGCTGCCTGCTGCTGCTGCTGCTGCTGCGCTGCTGCTGCTGCTGCTGCTGCTGCTTGTTGCTGCTGCGCTGCCTTGCTAACTGCTGCAGCCTGTTTGCAGCTGTGCTGTTGCCAGCAGCAGCGCTACTTGCTTCTGCTGCTTGCTCCTGATCTGCTATGCTGCTGCCCTGCTGTTGCTGCTGCTGCTCTGCCTGTTGCTGCTGCTGCTGCTGCTGCTGCTGCTGCTGCTGCAGCTCGCTGTTGCAGCGCTGTCTGCTGCTGCTTACTGCAGCTGCATGCTGCTGTTGCTGCTGCTGCATGCTGCTAGCGGCTGTTGCTGCTGCTGCTGCTGCTGCTGCTTGCAGCAGCTCGCAACTGCGGCTGCCAGCCGCTTATGTTGCTGCTGCTGCAGGCTGCTGCTGCTGCGCTGCGCTGTTGCTTGCTGCTGCTGTGTGCTGCAGCTGCTGCTGCTACTTCTGCTGCTGCTGCAGTTGTTGCTGCTGCTGCAGCTTGCAGCAGCAGCTGTTGCTGCTGCTGCTGCTGCTGCTGCTCCTGCTGCTGCTGTAGCATTGCAGCTGCTGCGCTACTGGCTTGCTTGCTGCTGCTGCTGCTTACTGCCTGCTGCTACGCTGTTGCTGCTGCTGCTGCTGCCTGATGCTGCTAGCTGCTGTCTTTGCTGCTGCTGCTTCTGCAGTTGCTGCTTGCTGCAGATCTGTTGTTGCTGTTGCTGCTGCTGCAGCTGCTGTTGCCTGCTGCTGCTGGCTGCTGCTTCTGCTACAGCTGTTGCTGCTGCGCGCTGCTGCAGCTGCTGCTGCTGCTTGCTGCTGCTGTTGCTGCTGCTGCTGTTGCAGCTGCTGTTGCTGATGCTGTTGCAGCTGCTGTTGCTGCTGGCTGTTTGCAGGCTTGCTGCTGTTTGCTGCTTCTGTTGCTGCTGCTGCCTGTTTTGCTGCTGCTGCTGCAGCTGCTTGCTGCTGCTACTGCTGTTGCAGCTGCTGCTGCTGCTGCTGCAGCTGCTGCTGCTGTTGCTGCTGTCTGCTGTTTCTGCTGTTCAGCTGCAGCTGTTGCAGCTGCGCTGCTGCTGCTGCGCTGTAGCTGTGCTGCTGTGCTGCTGCTGTTGCTGCTGCTGCTGCTGCTGCGCTGCTGCTACTTCTGAAGCTGCTGCTGCCAGCTGCTGCATCTGCTGCTGCTGCTGCTGCTGCTGCTGTTGCATGCTGCTGCAGTTGCTGGCTACTGTTGCTGCTGCTGTTGCTGCTGCTGTTGCAGCTGGCTGTTGCTGCTGCTGTTGCTGCTGCTGCTGTTTGCTGCTGTTGCTTGCAGCTAGCGGTTGCAGCTGCAGATGCTGCTGCTGTTGCGCGGCTGTTGCTGCTGCTGCTGTTGCTGCTGGCAGCTGCTGCTGTTTCTGCTGCTGCTGCTGTTGCTTCTGCTGTTGCAGCTGCTGTTGCTGCTCTGTTGCTGCTGCTGTTGCTGCTTGCAGTTGTGCGGCTGCAGCTGGTGCTGCTGTTGCTGCTGCTGTTGCTGCTGGCGTTGCTGTGCTGCTGATGCTGCTGATGTTGCAGTGCTGCTGCAGCTTGTTGCTGCTGCTTCTGCTGCTGCTGCTGTTGTTTCCTGCTGCTGCTGTTGCTGCTGCTGTTGCTGCAGCTGCTGTTGCTGCTGCTGTTGCTAGCTGCTGCTGTTTCTGCTTTGCTGCTGCTGCCTGTTCTGCGGCTTGTTGTAGCTGCTGCTGTTGCAGCTGCTGCTGCGCTCTGCTGTTGCTGCTGCTGTTGCTGCTGCTGTTCTGCTTCTGCTGTTCTGCTGCTGCGTATGCTGCTGTAGCTGTTTGCTTGCTGTTGCTGCTGCTGCTGCTGCTGCTGCTGGCTGCTGCTGTTTTGCAGCTGCTGCTGCAAGTCTGCTGCTGATCTGCTGCTGCTGTTGCAGCGCTAGTTTGCAGCTGACTGTTTGCAGGCTGTTGCTGCATGCTGTTGCTGCTGCTGCGTGCTGCTGCTGCTCTGCTGCTGCTGTTGCAGTGTTGCTTGCTTGCAGTTGCAGCGCTGCTGTTGCATGCTTGCTGTCATCTGCTGCAGTTGCTGCTGTTAGCTGCTGGCTGTTGCTGCTGCTGCAGTTGCTGCTCTGCTGCTCTGCTGTTGCTGACTCTGCTGTTGCTGCTGCTGTTGCTGCGCTGTTGCAGCTAGCTGGTGCGCTGCAGTTTGCGCTGCAGCTGTTGCTGCTGCTGCGTGCTGGTCTGCTTGTTGCTGCTGCTGCTGTTGCTGCTGCTGTTGCTGCAGCTGTGCTGCTGCTGTTGCTGCTGCATTGCTGCTGCTGTTGCTGCAGCTGCTGTTGCCTTGCTAGGCTGTTTCTGCTGTGCTGTTGCTGCTGCAGTTTGCTGCTGCTGCTGCTGCTGTTGTTGTTTGTCTGCTGCTTGCTGCTTGCTGCTGTTGCTGCAGCTGCAGTTTGCTGCTGCAGGCTAGCTGCAGCAGTTGCTGCATCTGCTGTTGCTGCTGCTTGTTGCTGCTGCTGTTTGAGCTGCTGTTGCTGCAGCTGTTGCTTGCTGTCTTGCAGCTGTTGCTCTGCTGCTGCTGCTGCTGCTGCTGCTGCGCTGCTGCAGCTGTTGCTGCTGCTGCAGCTGCTACTCAGCTGCGTGTCTCCTGTTACTGCAGCTGCTGCTGCTGTTGCTGCTGCTGCAGCGTCTGTTCAGCTGGTGCTGCTGCTGCTGCGCTGCTGTATTCTGCTGTTTGCTTCTGCTGCTGTGCTGCTGCAGCTGTTGCAGCTGCTGCTGCTGCGCTGCTGGCTGCTGCTGTGCTGCTGCTGCTGCTACTAACTAACTGCTGCTTGCGCTGCTGCGGGCTGCTGCTGCTGCTGCTACTGCTGCGGCGCTGCTGTTGTTTGTGCTGCTGCTGCTGCTTGCTGCTGCTGCTGCTGCTGCTGTTGCAGCTGCTGCTGCTAATTGGCTGCAGCTGCTCCTGTTTTCTGTCTGCTGCTGCTGCTGATGCTGCTTGCTGCAGCTGCTGTTGCTGCAGCTGCAGCTGCTGCTTGCAGGCTGCTGCTGTGCTGCTGCTGCTGTGCCTGCTGCAGCTTCTGCTGCTACTGCTGCTGCTGCGCTGTTTGCTTTGTGCTGCCTGCTGCTGCGGCAGCCATGCTATGCTGCTGCGCTCGAAGGCTGCAGCTGCTTGCTAGCTGCTGCTTTCATGGCTGCTGCTACTGCTGGCTGCTCTGCCTGTTGCTGCTTCTGCTGCTGCTGCTGCTGCTGCTGCTGCTGTTCTGCTGCTGCGCTGCTGCTAGCTGCTGCTGCTGCTGCTGCTACTTCTGCAGCAAGCTGCTTTTTGCTGCCTGCTGCTGCAGCTGCTGCAGCTGCTGCTGCTGATGCAGCTGCTGCTGCTTGCTGCTTCACCTGCTGCGCTGTTCTGCTGCTAGCTGCGGCTACTGCAGTATTGCTGCTGCTGCAGCTGCTTAAACTGCAGCCAGCTGCAGCTGCTGCTTCAGCAGCTACTGCTGCTGCTGCTGCTGCTACTGTAGCTGCAGCTTGCTCAGCTGCATGCTGTTGCGGCTGCTGCTGCTGCTGCTGCTGCTGCCTTGCTGTTGCATGCAGCAGCTGCCTGCTGCTGCTGCTGCTGTTGTTGCTGCTGGCTGCTGTCTGCTTGCTGCTGACTGCTGTTGCAGCTGCCTTCCGCTGCTACTACAGCTGCTGCTGCGCTGCTGCTGCTCAGCTTCTGCAGCTGTTGCCTGGCTAGCTGCTGCGGTTTTTTTTTTGTTTTTTTTTTTTTCTGCGCTGTTGCTGCCTGCTGCTGCTGCAGCTGCTGCTGCTGCTGCTGTTGCGCTGTCTGCTTGGGCTGCTGCTGCTGCTGAGCTGCTGTTGCTGCTGCTGCTGCTGCTGCTTGCTGCTGCAGACTGCGTTGCTGCTGCTGCTTGCTGCTTGCTGCTGCTGTAGCTGCTGCTGTAGCTGCTGCTGCTGCTGCTGCTTCTGCTGATGCTGCTGCTGCTGCTGCTGTTGTGTGCTGCTGCTGCCTGCTGCTGCAGCGCTGCTGCCTGCTGCTGCTGCAGTTGCTGCTGCTGCTGCTGCTGTTGCTGCTGCTGCTGTTGCTGCTGCGCTGCTGCTGTTGCTGCTTGCTGCTGCTGTTGCTGCTCTGGCTGCCGCTGTAATGTGCTGCTGCTGCTGCTGTTGCTGCTGCTGCTGTTTGCTTGCAGCTGCTGTTGCTGCTTGCTGCAGCTGCTGCTTCCTGCAGCATTTGCTGCTGCTGCAGCTGCTGCGCTGCTGCTGCTGCTGCAGCTAGCTGTTTGCTGCTGCTGCTGCTGCTGCAGTTGCTGCGCTGCATGCTGCTGTTGCTGCAGCTGCTGCTGCTGCTGCACTGCTGCTGCTGCAGCTGCAGTTGCTGCTGCTGCTGCTGTTGCTGCTTCTGCTGTTTGCTTGCTTGCTGCCTCGCTGCAGCTGCTGCTGTTGCTGGCTGCGGCTGCTGCTGTTAGCTGCTGCAGCTGCAGCTGCTGCTGCTGCTGCAACTTGCTGCTGCTGCTGCTACTGCTGCTGGCTGTTTGCTGCTGCTGCTTGCAGCTGCTGCTGCTGCTGTTGTTGACTGCTGCTGCCTGCTGTAGCAGCTGCTGCGCGTTGGCAGCAGCAGCTGCTGTTGCAGCAGCTGTGTTTCTGTGCTGCTGCTGCTGCAGCTGTGCTTGCTGCTGCAGCTGCTGTTGCATGCTGCAGCTGCTGCTTCTGCTGCTGCTGCTGGCAGCTGTTTGCAGCAGCTGCTGCAGCTATCTGATGCTTGCTGCGCGTCTGCTCATCTGCTGATGCTGCAGCTGCTGCTGCTGTGGATTTATTTCTGCTGCGCAGTTGCTGCTGCTGCTGCTGCTGCTAGCTGTTGCTGTCTGTCTGCTGCAGCTGCTGTTGCTGCTTCTGCTGCTGCTGCTCGCTGCTGCTGTTGCTGCTGCTGTTGCTGCTGCTGTTTTTTTGCTTTGCTGTTGCTGCTGCGCATCTGCAGCGAGGCTGCTGTGCAGTTGCTGCTGCTGCTGCAGCTCTGCTGCAGCAGCTGCTCTGCTGCTGTTGCTGCAGCAGCTCCTGCTCTGCTGCTGCTGCTGTTGCTGCAGCTGCTGCCTGCTGCTAGCTTTGTTTTGCTGCTGCTGCTGCAGCTGCTGTTGCTGCTGCTTGCTGCTGCTGTCTGCTGCAGCTGGCTTGTGCTGCTGCTGGCTGGCAGCAGTTGCTGCTCTGCTGCTGCCAGCTGCTGCTGCTGCTCCTTGCTGCTGCGCTGCTGCAGCTCTGCTTGCTGCTGCCTGCTGCTGCTGCTGCTGCTGTTGCAGCTGTTGCTGCTGTTGCTGTTGCTGCTGCAGCTGGCTGCTGCTGCTGATTGCAGCTGTTGCTGGCGTTGCTGTTGCTGCAGCAGCTGCTGCTGCTGCTGCTGCTGTTGCTGCTGCTGCTGCTGCTGCTGCTGCTGTTGCTGCTGCCTGCTGTTGCTGGCTGCAGCTTTCCTGCTTCTGCTGCTGCTGTTCTGCTTGCGGTTGCTGCTGCTGCTGCAGCTGCAGCTGCTGTTGCTGCTGCTTGCAGCTTGCAGCTGTTGCTGCTGCTCTACTGCTTCTGGGCTGCTGCTGCTGTTGCTGCTGATGCTGCTTGCTGCTGCTGCTGCTGCAGCTGCTGGCTGTTGCTGCCTGCTGATGTTGCTGCTGCAGCTGCTGCTCTGCTGCTGCTAGCCTGCTGCAGCTGCTGCTGATGCTGCTGCAGCTGCTGCTGCTGCGCTGGCTGCGTTGCCTGCTGCTGCGTTTTTCCTTGCTGCTGCAGCAGCTGCTGCTGCTGCTTGCTGCTGCTGCTATGCTGCAGCTGCTGCTATCTGCTGGCTGCTGCGCGCTGCTGTTGCTTGCTGCGCTCCTTGCTGCTGCTGCTTGCTGCTGCTGATGCTGCCTTGCTGCTGCTGGCTGCAGTCTGCTGCTGCTGCTATGCTGCTGCTGCTGCTGCTTGCTCTGCTCCTTGCTGCTGCACTGCTGCTGCTGCTGCTGCTGCTGCCGCTGCTGCGCTGCTGCTTCAGCAGCTTGCTGCTGCTCCTTGCTGCTTGCTGCGGCTGCTGCGCTGCTGCTGCTGCTGCTGCTGCAGCTGCTGCTGCTCATCGGCAGTCTGTAAGTACCTCGCACGCCGGACCATGCTAACTCGTCAATGTTAAGCAGCAAATTAGCCGCAGAACGAGCCAGCTGTACCGGATATGTGAACTCCCTCACTCATTCATGTTAGATATGTTGGTCACGAGAGAGTGAGAGCGAGGGTAATCGTAAATGGTGGACGTTGCTGGCTGACCCTGCTTCACTCTCTCTTCTTTAAACACTATAACCTTATTAACCTCTTCCTCTTCCCCCTGCACACACACACACACACGCAAACACACCAAACACACACACACACATCTTCCAAGGGTCCTAAGAGGGAGCAGAGGCGCGTGTACATCACTAACAACAATCTTCAACACGATATCGAAACAGGGCGACTTCCTGAGGTATTGGAAGAAGCAAATGTAGTTCAATTTTTTAAAAAAGGGAGACATGACACGAAGTCCATAAACTACAGAAAAAACCATTGTCACTGTACATTATAGTCAAGCAAATACATGGAGAAGAATATCAGGAGAGAAGTGGTGGAGCACTGATAAAGAAATAAACTAATCACTACAACCATCACGGATTCAGGGACGGTAAATCCGATTGTCACAAACCTAACTGGAGTCCTATGACTAGGGTGACAGCAGTAATACAAGAGAAAGAGGGTGGGTAGATTGCGTTTTCCTTTGGATGTAAGAAGCGTTATGACACAGTTCCACACAAGAGATTAGTGTCAAAAGCGGAGGACCAAGCAGAGATACCAGGGACGGGCACTGCAATGGATTCAAAGAATACCTGTCGGAAGACATCAGCGAGTCATGGTAAACGTGACGAGGTTGTCTATAGTGGGAGCCTGTTAAATGAGCCGGTTTCTACAGGTCAGTCCTATGACCGGTGCTGTTATATTATATGATGTGAACGACATGACGGAAGTAATAGACCTCAGAAGTGTCCCTGTTTGCAAACGATGTGACGTTCTGAGAATAATTCAGTCTAACGAGACCAGGTATAACAACAAAGGGATCTGGACAGTATGCAAGGCCTGGTCCAGAAACTGACTCCTGGAGTTCAACTTCCTAATAGCAAAGTCATGAAGATTGGGGAAGGGCAAAGAAAACGCAGAACGAGTACAGTCTAGGGGGCCAGAGACTACAAACCTCACTCAAGAAAAAGATCTTGGGGTGAGTATCACACCAGGCAACATTCCCAGAAGCGCACATCAACCAAATAACTGCTGCAGCATATGGGCGCCTAGCAAACCTCAGAATAGTTTAGGACCCTGTACACCGTGTACGTTAGGCCCATATTGGAGTATGCGGCACCAGTTTGGAACCCACACCTAACCAAGCATGTAAGAAAATTAGAGAAAGTGCGAAGGTTTGCAACAAGACTAGTCCCGGAGCCAAGGGGGTTGTCCTACGAGGAGAGGTAAAGAAAATTTGACTTGCGGCACTGGAGGACAGAGAGATAGGGAGAATATGATAACGACATATAAATACTGAGAGGAATCGACAGGGTGGACAGAGACAGGATGTTCTAGAGAAGGGACACAGCAACAAGGGGTCACAGTTGGAAGTTGAAGACTCAGATGAATCACAGGGATGTTAGGAAGTATTTCTTTAGTCACAGAGTTGTCAGGAAGTGGAATAGTCTGAGAAGTAATGTAGTGGAGGCAGGATCTATACATAGCTTTAAGAAGAGGTATGATAAAGCTCATGGAGCAGGACGAGTGACCTAGATGCTACCAGTGAAGAGGCGGGGCCAGGAGCTGTGAATCGACTCTTGCAACCACAACTAGGTGAGTACACACTCACAGGAGGGACATGATTACGCCATATAAAATACTGAGAGGAGCTGACAAGGTGGACAGAGACAGGATGTTCCAGAGATGGGACACAGCAACAAGGGGTCACAGTTGGAAGTTGAAAACTCGGATGAATCACAGGGATGTTAGGAAGTATTTCTTCAGTCACAGAGTTGTCAGGAAGTGGAACAATCTGGAGAGTGATGCAGTGGAGGCAGGATCCATACATAGCTTTAAGAAGAGATACGATAAAGATATTGGAAGAGGGAGAGAGTGAACTTAATACCAACCAGCGAAGTGGAGGGGCCAGGAGCTGTTTTGTGACCCCTGCAGTCACAAACAGGTGAGTACAAATAGATGAGTACAAGGGCCCCACTAGAAATAAGTCACTCTGACCTACTTTTTTGGTTATCCTGGTGGGTAATTTATACTTATGTTACTATGTATGATAATTGTACTTATGTGTACCTGTACCTAAATAAACTTATACATACATAACCCGCAGATAGAAGAAACTAATGACGACGTTTCGGTCCGACTCAGACCGAAATGTCGTCATAAGTTATTTTGCTCTTCTGTTCTTGATTTTTACTTACTTTCTTACTTATTTACTTACCTTCAATTCCATCGAACTGCTTTATTTATCTCGTTCCTTGAAGATCTGAAACGTGTTTATTTGGGGGGTGGGGGGTTAGCTTTTCGTAAGAGAAGATCGCTCGTCCTGTGATCTCTTAGGCAGCGTCTTGGCAACGACTCGTTACCTGAGTGTGGGTCTGACAGACGAAGGATACTTTGTTTTCGGCTAATGGTCGTTTAGAGGGAAATGAACGACTCATGGTGGTCCTGCCTGGTGGTGATATTACCAGGGTTACTACCTACCATGATAATAGCTACTTGCCATGATAATAACTACCTGCCATGATAATAATTACCTGCCATGATAATAACTACCTGCCATGACAATACCTGCCATGTAATAACTACCTACCATGATAATAACTACGTGCCATGATAATAACTACCTACCATGTAATAACTACCTACCATGTAATAACTACCTACCATGATAATAACTACCTACCATATAATAACTACCTACCATGATAATAACTACGTGCCATGATAATAACTACCTACCATGTAATAACTACCTACCATGTAATAACTACCTACCATGTAATAACTACCTACCATGTAATAACTACCTACCATGATAATAACTACCTACCATATAATAACTACCTACCATGTAATAACTACCTACCATGATAATAACTACCTGCCATGATAATAACTACCTACCATGATAATAACTACCTACCATGTAATAACTACCTACCATGTAATAACTACCTACCATGATAATAACTACCTACTATATAATAACTACCTACCATGTAATAAGTACCTACCATGATAATAACTACCTGCCATGATAATAACTACCTACCATGATAATAACTACCTGCCATGATAATAATTACCTACCATGATAATAACTACCTACCATGGTAATAACTACCTGCCATGCTAATAACTACCTTCCATGGTAATAACTACCTGCCATGATAATAACTATCTGCCATGATAATAACTACCTGCAATGATAATAACTACCTGCTACGATAATAACTACCTACCATGGTAATAATCATCTACCCTGAAAATAACCACCTACCATAGTAATAACCATCTACCATGATAACCACCACCTAACATGGCCACCTCCCATGATAGCCACCATCTAACATGGCCACCTGCCATGATAACCACCACCTAACATGCTACCTACCATGATAACCACCATCTGCCATGACTACCTACCATTACCATCTTTATGATAACCACCTACCATGATAACCACCACCTAATAACACCACCTACCATGATAACCACCACTTAATATGATTACCTACCATGATAACCACCACCTAATATGACCACCTACCATGACTAGCTACCATGACCATCTAATATGATAACCACCACCTAATATGGCTACCTACCATGATAACCACCACCACCTACCATGAGAACCTCCTACCAAGAAAACAAACCTAGCATGACCACCACCTGCCATCATAACCCCCATCTACCGTGACCAACAGACCGAAACGTCGTCGTAAGCTCCTCTGTCCTATCTGCGGGTTGTGTAAAGCCTTTGACAGTATGTCAGTGCTGGCTGTCCCAGGCTCAGACTCAAAATTCATCAGAAACTGAAAAAAAGGAAATCATGCCTTAAATATCCTATGGAGAAGGAGTTTGGACACAGGAGCCATCCCACAGATATTAAAAACCAGTGCTACAGCCCCACAGTTTTTGTGAACACTGTTGTGACTGTTCTTCTGAACATTGTGGTGACTGTTCTTGTGAACACTGTGGTGACTGTTCTTGTGAACACTAGGGTGACTGTTCTTGTGAACACTGTGGTGACTGTTCTTGTGAACACTGTGGTGACTGTTCTTGTGAACACTGTGGTGTCTGTACTCGTGAACACTGTGGTCTCTGTACTCGTGAACACAGTGGTGTTACTCGTTATTGTCGTCGCGGACTCGACCTTGTGTGTCATGGTGGTGGCGAGTGTAAACAGACATTTCAATATTTATATATATTTTTTCCTCTGGTCACTTGCATTTGTTGTTTTTTGTACAAGTTCCGGTGTAGTACATGTCTGAGTGCCACTCTGGCCTCAATGTACATTTTCACTTGTTGTTTTTACTCTACAAACATCCCTGAAACCATTCGCCATTTTTTAAACTATTGTACTAATGTATTTCCCAGTACAATTGTTTGTGTGCGTGTATATGTGTGTGTGTGTGGCTGTGCTCTAGCTCCAGGGCTTTCTTTTTTCTTATGTTCCTCTTCTCTCGTTACCCATTCTTTGAGTTTCCACAAATTTTAAATAACTTATCCATTTAAATTTACTCTGAATCTTTGATAACCACTATATCCCCCCCCCCCAAAAAAAAAAATGATGCAATAAACCCGTACGAGTCTTTGTTTCCGAGTATCTTTCAAGGTGTGACTCTAGTCTTACCCCCTCTCCCTCTTCCCATCTTCCTCTCACACATTTATCAACCTCCTCATGTAATTTAATTAGGATAAATAGCAATGATTTTCTCTCTCTCTAAACCCGTGTTCTTTCTTTTTACACTCGTCCTCCCCCCCTCCCCCCCTCCCCCTGGTCACTTACTAACATGCTTATTATCTTCTTCGACACTTTGCAAGGTATACATGTCAGGGATACA